TACAAACTTCTTTACCCATGGCGCTAACATTCTCACCACGACTCACACGTTGCTTCCACGAATATATAGCTTAAAAAACTTCCTTCCGGTTCATGAACAAAATCTATTTTGGCCCACTATGTGTCCCCTAATTAGTGTATAAAAATTTCCTTTGGTACGATTGTTTGGTATATTAAGATTGATTTATAAAACGTGAAAATTCAATCATTAGATCGAAATCTATTCAGGGTGGTCTGGCTTTTATTTTGTACACAATACATCGAGTTCTGTGAACAAAATGTTCTTAAATTCACTCCTAAGATATGCTGAAAAGAACTGTGGGTCTAGGTTTTGAATCCACCCTGCTGTAGAGCGGGTACCAGCTTGTCAGGGAAATAAAGGTGGTAGGTGCACAATGCTGATTTTATTTTCACCATCACTCCTCGTTAGTCATAAATCGTGGAGTCTTAATATCGATGTCCCTCTAGCTCACAATAGACTGTTGGGCGAATTTTTTCTGCACATAAGTATTTTAAATAAAATTCTCTTCGCGCGAATATTTTATTGCTATACCATAATTAGGTTTGCAATAAGGTAAAATGAACGAGAGAAGGCCCCACATTTTAAAGGAACCGCAACGCATAGAAGCAACCCCCTAAAGCCAAATTCGAGAAGGAAAAAAAATATGTAACAAAATATTGAAGAGTCAATTTTAAACTCCAGATTCAAATTTTGTTTATTATTTTAATGAGATTGTTCGAATGAAAAGTTTCTAAAAAAGAACTATTACTTATACTTGTGTCGAGAAACCTTTCAAAGAAAGTTTTCGTATTGTACTTTCGCAGACTTTAAGAAAACAATCCAAAATCATGATCTTATGCTCGTTTATTTGCTTTCCTTTAAATGAGGCCCTTTGCAAAATATTTTCTTATTGTTTATTAATATTTTCGCTGAAAAGGTTAATATTTGCTTTATTTCGTTTCCTTAGAAAAAGGTTTTCGCTTAATATTTCTGCTAATCTAATCATGACAGCAAACAAAAATGCAAAAAATAAGGTTTACAATTTGCTTGTTTTTTAACCTAAATAACAATATTTTTAAAAAAAGATTTAAAAATCATTAGTTTTCCTTTAAGGAGGAAAGGTTGGAAATTGCAATATTTTTACGTCATTGAAAAAAGGTTTTTTCCGCAAACCTTTTCGTAACAATGAAAGTAAAGTTAAAACTCAAGGTTGTCGTAAGGTTACATGCTTTCTGGGCATCTCTCCAGATAGCGTATGATTCATTGTGATCGTGATTGAAAATATCATCCATTGATGACGGCCTGGGTTGTTGTAGTACATTTACGTCGCACTAGAGCTGCACAATGGGCTATTGGCGACGGTCTGTTAAACTATTGTATTTGATATGTTTTCAGTTCACATGCTAGCGTTTTACCGAAAATTTTACGTTACAAAATTATAGTTCTTACTACCATATATTTAATAAAATATACAAAACTGAAAATTAAATTTAACCAAATAAATGTTCTTNTCCCTACGCAGACTGATCCAAGTGGTCACCCACCCGCACACTGACCGTAGCCAGTGATGCTTGACTTCGGTGATCTGCTGAGAACCGTGTCTTAACGATCATTCCACTGCGGGAGGATGACGGTCTGGGAGGCATCCCTGAGAATGATCTGCTGGAGACAACATATATACGTCACATCCCGTTTTACAGGGAGGACACATTTACGCACACCATCCATCCACAGACCGTAATTTTGATTTATATCCGAGCACGATCTGTCTCCGATTCATTACCTCCCTTGTTTTTTTAAGCTGGTTACAGCTAAACTTTATGCATTAAGATTTCATAATCATGAACTCGCTTTGACTTTGACCGTATCGGAGGACAACTATAAACATCAAATGATAAAAAGAAAGAAAAATTCCAGATCCAGTTTTTAATCGAAAATTTACTACTTAATTTATTTAGGCCCTTTTCCAAATTTCTTAGCACTTTATTATTAGTCTTATCCATTAATAAAATGTCTCATAATAGCAGTCCAGGTCACACATCTCCTAATTCTTTCTACGATCCAAGTTTTACTGCTGAAATGACATCAAAGATGCGAGTTCCGGATAAAATATGCGTTGTTGGAGGAGCTGAACCACCAGATCTCATTTTACCTCAACATTCTGAGATGAAATCAAGAATGAATGTTCCCGAAAGGATAATTGTAGCCGGTGATAATTCTCTTCTTTTGTTGTTTTTCTACATATACTAAGTCGATTTTATTTTATTTATCGTTCTTTCGAGTAACGAAGTGGTTTAGTTTTTATTGCCAGTGCAAACTTTGAATCTTTTTTAGCATATTGAACTTTAAATTATCGTATTGCTTCAATATGTCAATTTCATATAAATTAATTATTTAAACGATGGTACAACCTAACTGAGTTACAAAAATACAAATCATATTGTTTGGTTAGATTGATAGAGAGATTTCCGTATTGTGATCTGTGGCAGAATAATCGCCATGTCTTGGAAACTTCCTGGCAGTAGACCACGAGAAACTAAAAAATATTACACCAAGGGAGCAACTGGAAAGGTGTAACTCGTAGCCACCCTTGGGCAAACATGTAAATGTTTTTTGTTTTTTTTTAAATTTGCAAGTTTAAAATTTATTTGTCACCTTGGCGACAGAAACATCCTCAGACTGATAATGGCGATAAAGTAAAGCAAATGATTGAGAAAATTTTAACACTTTAATTTAACCAGAGATAAAATTATGGGGCGATATTTCTGTATTGCAATCTGTCACGCCGACTACAATCACTAAGTTGTCACATAGATTTTAAGCTCACTAATGTTTTTAAAAGAAATATGTAGATGTTTGCCCAGGTTGGCTACCTTTCAAGTTTGATTTTCTTTGTGTAATGTTTTTTTTTTAGTTTCACGCAGACCGCTGAAGTCAAGACCTAGCTATTATTTTGTTACAGAACACTGTGCGGAAATCTCCCAAATAATTGGATGTAACAGGGCCAATAATTTTTTTTAAAAAAAGTACTTGCTTCTTTCTAGTGTTAACTGTTAATTATGAAATTTGCTGTGTAAAATTTTAATATGTTTTAACATTCTCTGTGGTTAGGTTTATAAAATTACAAATCTAATGTTTAAATTCTACCTAAATGGATATATCTTCCCAAGTTTAATCAATAAAATTAAAACCCCAATAAATGAGTCATTCTTTGAAATAAAGGATATTTCACTGATTGCTATTACAATCTTTTAAAATATGACTGTATGCAATTTTTATTTCATGTATACAGTCGAACTACTATTCAAGTAACTTCTATTTTGCAAATTTGTCTATTTGTGTTTTTTTTTTTTTTTTTTTTTTTTTTTTTTTTTTTTTTTTTTTTTTTTTGAGGAACTAAGAACATTATGGAAATTTCTTTGTAAAATAACTTCAAAATAGCGATGTGAATTTTCTGTTTAACGAACTTTTCTTCGAGATCCACTTTCCCTATTTCCCAAAATATTTCAGAACATTTCAACAAATTTAATGGGGGAAATAACCTTAAATTGATTTTTACAGCCACTTAACTTTTAGGGGAAGCAGTAAAATTTGTTTGCATTTCATACATGAATCCATGTCAAAAATCAGTTTACGAGAAAGCATAACAAAAAATTTAAAGCACGAAACTAGATCTTACAGATCGTACTTTTCGTAAGAGTTTTGCTAAAGCTGAATTCTTAGTCAATGTGGAAAATTTTTATAGTGCAGAGGACCAGTGGGATATTCTTTTAGAAGAACTTTTAAAAAATGTGGTAACAGCTAATAGAGAACCACGAAATGAACAATAGGATGCGTAGCATAATTGTTGAAAGGTACTTATTTTTTCTTTACATTTTTTAAAACGCTATCTCCTGTTTACCAATATATTCTCCAAGTTCTCCGTATTTGTTGAAGAAATTAGAAATAATTTTTTTTAAATAAAATATCCCTTGATGGCAAAAATACTTCTCTTATTCCTCAACAGAAGGTGCTATTACAGTATGTTAAGTCTTTATATTTTAAGTAATTATGAATAATGTTTTTAAAAAAAATCTTCTTTAGATTAAGATTTATATACATATTTTTACTATGCTAAATGTAAGTGCTTATGTATGCTATTCTAAATGTATGCTATTCTCTTCAAGTTATATCAGGGGTCTGTCTGGATTTATCTCAGAGGTACCACCTATATTGTGAAAATTATTACAAATTATTATATTACAAAATCGACACAAAAATACGGATCTATCGTTTCTTTTGGGATACAAAGAAAAAGTATTTTATGAAACTACCGTTTTTCCTAAAGTTGAATTTGAGAAGATACCACTAAACGGTAGTAAATTTGGCCTGGACAGACCCCTGTATATGATTATGCATGATGTATCAGAACTTTACTCGTAGCCTGAAAAATGTTGCTAGTGCAATCTACGTTATTTTATTTTCCAAATGTTGGCTGGTATGTAATGGCTAATATAATCAAAAAAGGAGTTTTTTCTCAGAAGCTAGTTATTTTATCATAATCTGGTTAAGTCTTTGAAAATTATTTTGCTTTTTTTTTAATGTATCTAGTGCTTAAAAATATTTTTTGAGTGATTAAAAGGTGCTTATTTTTTGTTGAAAGATTGCACCCCTGTTGCCTCTTCTAATGTCTATTCATCTCTTTAGGTGATAATAAGCACATAGCTGTGAGAGAATCTGTCCCAGAATTGAAGTTTGATACTCCATTTCCAAATTATTTGCCTAACCTCGTACTTGCACCTCCCCCGAATGTGTTGACGGTAGACGAGTATCCTGCCGAGGTTAGCAAACCTCAGAAGCCTGAAACAAGGAAAGAATATGACACTAATAAGGATGATGTAGGGTAATATATTTTATTTAATTTCACACTGTGTCTACTACTACAAAAATACAACTCCAATTCACTAGTATATAAGACACGTTAACTCGATTCTATGTTGTCCACCCCTAGGGGTCTCATCAAGGTGAAGTTAATCCCTGTAACTGAGTTTAGGGAGCAACCAACACCTCCTAGATAAGAGCAAGCCTCAGCATGGGTTACCATAAATATCCTTTAGTAGTCCAAACGTAATGACATATTTCATATTTTCAACCACTGCGCAGCTTAGTAATGACATCTTTCTTATTTTTCATCTACTGCGCAGTTAACTTCGTTTGATCGGACTACTAAATTCATCCATACTGAGGCCTTCCTTCTTCTAGGAGGTGTTGGAGCAACCTGGCAGGAGTAGTAATTACCAGGATGGCTGGGTCTCTACTTTAACAGAGCCACACCTTTTTACACTCACAAACATTCTCACTCACTTTTAACTCACCAATTTTTATTGTATATATTTTTGATCTGTATATATATGTTATCTATTCTTTAGTGTATTTTATTCTTTGCAACATTTTTTCACTTGTATTTTTCACCCAATTTTTGACTTTGCCCAATAACTTGGCAAGGCGCCATACATTCATGAACTCCATTTTGCGCCCTGTTACTTTAACTGTTATCATGCATCTTTTACTCTTTTATTTTCAAGATAAATGGGAAAAGGGCCACAAGGCCTCAGATGCCCAGTTCCAATGCAAATTATGATGATCTATGTTGTTTACCTTTTCATAGATGAACATTGACATTGTAGATAACTACTCGCCTAACACACTGTACAAAAGTTTAAACTTTTGTTTTCAAAGTTACATTTAAATTTCTTTTTCTACCCTCTCCTCCTAGTTCATTATTTTAAAATCGTATTAATTTTTTTCTTCTATAATATGTCGTTGATTTTGCTAGATTCCAGGTTCTTTAGACCCAGGGTATATTAATTTACTAATATATCCTTATAATAGGAACAGTTCTCTATTCAAAATAATACAAATCTTTATTCTATTTTAAAATATTATATTGGGTTGTTCTGAAAGTAATTTAGTTTTTTTTTTTTTGGAATAATGAAAGACAATTTTTGTAAAATGAATAAATATTTTATTTAATTATATATTGGCCATTCTGGTCCAACACATTTTGCCATCTTTCTGGTAGTAGCATAATTCCACGCTTATAAAAATTTTGGTCTTTGCTGGCAAAAAACTGACCCGTGTGATTTTTGACCTCTTCATTTGAGGTAAAGGTTTTACAGTCCAAAAAATTTTGCAATGACCAGAACAAATAATAATCCTAAAGCGTCAGATTTGGAGAATATGGTGTTTGTGGCAGTGTATCTCATTCAAGCTGTAAAAACTTTTGGCGAGTGACCAAACTTGTATCAGGTATCGCGTTATCTTGGTGGAACCCTTTTCTGTTGATTAATTTTGGACTTTTCTGTTGATCATTTAGTATGTCCAGCTGACGACAGTAGACTTCCGAATTAATTGTTGTGTTATCCGCTAAAAGCTTTAAAATATATATAAATATATTTCTTTAAAATCCCACCAAACATACAGCATCACCTTTTTTTGAAGGATATTGGCTTTCGAAATGCTTTGAGCCGGTTCATCTTTTTTGCTCCATGATCTCTTTTGTTTGACATCGTTATAGGCAACCCATTTTTTGGCCCCAGTAATGACCTTTAAGTGGTCATAAACAGTTGCATTCAATAAATTTAACCTCTCACCGATCTCATGTGTTGTTATTTGCATCAACTAGTGCCTTTATCGTGTCTTTATCAGCTTCAACCGGCCTTCCAGAATCGTCGACATCAAAATTGCCGGGTCGAAATTTTACAAACAAATTCAGGCACTGGCGTACTATCAACACATCTTCTCCATACACATCGGTTAATTTCTTTCTGGCATGAACAGCATTTTAACACTAGTAAAATATGACGAAAATGCTGCTTCTTGCTCTCCATATTTAAAAGGGCAGCAACCAAAAACTACTGTGTAGAATTAATTGAACTTTTTCACTCACAAGCCTTGCTATATCAGCTCTCAAAGCATATAATGATAATGCAGCTTAAGTGAGAAGTTGGGTTCGAAAAAATACAGTTAAATCCACTGTCGGAAAAATGAAACTACTTTCCGAGCAACCCGATAAATCTCTGTGAATAGTAATTGATTTAATAATGATAATTGAACTAAGAATTAAAACCAAAATTACTATACTGTATCGATTCAACTCAAAATAATTTTAATTTTCTTTAAAAAAATTAAAAAAAACTAAAGTTCAGTTTAATTTTGCCTTTTTGAATCTGTTGGAGTGCTGCTTTCTTTCTTTCTTTTTCATGGTTGAAAATTTAACTTCACGGAGACGCGCCATAACTGTTTATGGCATCCCGTCTGTATTCAATTTTCCGGGTGTTTGAAATGTTTAAGTGGAATCATTGATATGCTTAGAGTTTAATGTGTATGTATTGATTAGTGTTTAAAAATCACATTATTTTTATTACGTAATAAATATAATGATGCATATTTTTGTACATCTAACTTGTGTGACCCAAGTTTACTGTTGAATTTTTAAAGTTTAAGCAATGTCCTTGTACTCTGTATCATTTAAACGGAAATTTGTTGTAATTAATGAATTCAAACGTTATTTTTAGCAGTTATGCATGATTATAGTAAAATTTATCATAAATACAGAGCATATTCATGATTTTGACTTATTCTGTCAAAAAAATTTGTTTCTTAAAATGTTAAATATGTCTATTTTAAAGAAGAATAAGTTATTAAAAATATTCTGTTTTTAAATATTATTTGATTTGTATTATAAAATAAATTGTTCCCGAGCCTAATTAAGCAGTGATTTCCAGCAGAAAAAAAAATTCTTATTTTTTAAATCAAAAATTATCTTAAATATGTATTTGTCCCTTCTGTTACAATTATTATTTTAAGTTTATTTAATTCATCACACAAGAAATCTTTTAACTGAATAACTGGTTTAACAATAAAGTTTATTAGTACAATCATGTTATGTTATATTTTCTTATTTATTCTTGTTTAAGAAAATTTTAAAGTTTCTCATCTAACAGAGGACGAAACTAAATGTCTCCTCAGTTACACAAAATGTAAGCAAAGCTGATTAGTTGACCATTAAAAAGGAACTCTAGGAATGTAACCAAAGTGCTAATGCATCCAGATTCAACTAGTTTAAACCAGTTCCTCCACTGTTAGAGCACACTTTTTATACAAAGATGTGCCATTTCTATTTGATAGTATGTTTAGTTTATAGTTAAAAGTTTTTTGAGTGAGTAATCAATATGGGGAAAACTGCAGCAGAAAGAATATAGAATTTGAATGTACCTAGAAAAAAAGATATTTGTAATAAGAAAGAAGAAGAACATAAAACGAAAATTTATGATAACAGAAGTATTTTCAAGAGAAATCTAAACAGAGAAATAGATAAATTGAAAATAAAAAAGCACTGATACAAGCAGTAGAAATTCAGTAAGGATATTCTCTTTATAATACTCCTTAGACATTGGGAAAAGCTTTTAAGAAAGCCAAATGTGCATCACCTGTACCTCCAAAAAAACATTGTACAGTTCTGCACATACTCTGTACCTTACTACCAAAACAAAAGAAACAGCTTAGTAACAAAGCTTCTGATGAAACAAAAAAACTTGTAATAAATTTCTAGTCCTCTGGTAAGCTTTTTTACCAGACATCTGGTAGAGCTGAGTGTATGATTGTCAGAGAAAATGGACAGAAAGTCACAAAGCAAAAAAAAGTATTTGCTGTGCACCTTGATGGAAGCATATCAAATTTTAAAGCAGATGCATCCAAACATGAAATTTGGCAAATCTAAGTTTGCTGTACTACCACCTATTTATATTTTATGTGTAGGTAAAACACCATATTATTTGTGTGTGCTATTTGTGAAAATGGGAATTTACTATTAAAAGCACATGGTTGATTGTCTAATAATTACATAGTATTACTAAATGTAGCGACTTGCAACAATTGCTCAATTAATTTATTTTATAACAGTCACTGGGCAGCCAACCCAAATTTGAGTTTACGGCTACCAATGTTCAACTCTGTAGCCTTGTAATTTTGAACCCAATCCAAAAGATGTGGGGACTCCTTGATCAGTAACCCCAGAGGTACTGATTTGTTAGGGGAACTTAGAGGACTTTGTGGCCTTGCAGATTTAACATATCCCAGTCACCATTTAAACATGAGGATTCTTTTGATGCTGCAATAAATAGTTTTGCAATTGTAAAAAGTTCGTGGAAAAAATAGGTTAGTCAATTTTGTTGCCCAAATAACTGAAATTGAGAAACAAACAAACAATGTGAATGTTTTTTTTTTAACATGGTTTGATAAAATCAAAACTTTCAAATATAACTACAAAAATGTAGCATGATTCAAATTTGTATGACTCTGTTACATTTCATGTCCTCTCTGTTATGACGCATTATTTGGGCTTCATAAAAATGTGTTGCAATTTTGAAAGTCTTATAATAATTTATTTTACCTTGAAATGGGATGATTTTTAAAAAAAAATTACAGTTAATGTTTAGGATGGTCTAAATTAAAGAATTTAGTATAAATAGCATGCATGTCAAAAATGTAGGATTTTATTTGTTCACTCTTTTACAAGTTCTTTTAATTAACTTGCAATTTAATCTCGAGGCTCTTTTATTGTCTTATGTAAACAGTAGCATATTCTTATACAATTTTTTGTTTTCAGAAATATTTAATGTATGTTTTAGAATTAAATACTTGTGTGATTTCCCCTTTATTATGCTTGGAATTCAACAGTATTTATTTAATAGAAACTTTTTTGGTGTACATCACGCTTTGTTAACAACATAAATCCCTAAAATAATGACTTCTTTTTAAATTGTTTTGATATATAATGAAAACTTTTCAAAAATTTAAGTTGATTTATAATTGTTTAGTAACAGGAATTTACTCTTAAAATTTTACTGTGAATTACATTTAAATTCAGTTGTTGTCTGATCTTAAAGTTAAGATCTATATTGGGCTCACACCTATTGAGAATGATGTTTGAAAAAGACCAGGTCACTTATGCTTTTAATGAAAAATCTGGCTCTTTCTTTTTCTACTGGCCTTTTTATCTTTCAAACTATACATTTTTTACATTTTTATAAAGTCCTTAATGAGTTTGCTGGATTTGCTTCTAACATAAAAGTTTAGTGTTTGTTATCACTTGTTTTGTTGCAACTAAATCCATTTTTTATTTTTAAAGGTTGTGTTGTTATGTTATTTTTATTTTTCTATGATTAACAGATTGTTACATGAAAATTTAATGTTATTCAACTAAAGATCCCAAAAAATTTTATTGCATTATCAGAGATATATTTCCCAAATCTATTGTGATAAATTTAAACTTAAGCATTTTGCTTGATTACCATGGCAACATAATCTACAATTTTATTTTCCGAATTTTTATTCAACTTTTGGTTAATCATGATTAGTTAAATATTCTTCTCCAACCAAATTGTTTAGTGAATATTTTAAAGTTAGTTATTAGTAAATTAATTTATAAAATAATTATAGCTTTATATAAAGCTTATTATAAAAGTAAATATAGCATATTTACTGTTTAATAATAGTTAAATACTTTTTTTTATGTGTTTTTGTAATTTTACAGGATTACTTTACCATAAAAAAAGTACCATATTTAGTTTTCAGCCTTTAATTTGGAATAATAATAAAAATCAAATCTTAATAATAGTGAAAAATTTTTTGAAAGGATGATTAATAAATATTGCAAGTAAATATTTAAATAATAAATAAATAATTTATAGGTAAAAAAATACCTATATGTTTTTAAATAATGTATTGAATTTTTCTTTTCTTTTTTTAATTGATTTTTACTTATTTTATAACAACCAAAGAAATCTAGATCTTTGTTAATTAAGGAACTGTACTATGCAATTTTCTGGCCAGTTGTTTTGACCACTTTATTTACAGGTTATACCTTGATAAACAAAACATTTTGAATATTAATTACACCTAGAAATTCCCTAAATGTGAAACATATTGTTTCAAAAAATAAATTTACTTATGTCATTTTCATACTGTAAAGGATACCATAAAAATATTTATTGCAATGAATTTAAATAGTTTTAAACTTAACCTGATGGAAAAAATTTAAAAAAAAAAGAGTTATAGTGATTTGTAGTGACTGAAAATTGATAAAGCCTGTATTTACCTGCGATAAAACTTTATTTATCATGACATAGTTAAGTAAAATCTTATATTAAAAATTTTAATATTACTTTTCATCATAGTTGTTTTAATATGCACTTATGAATAAACTCTTTCATTTAAAAAAAAAAAAAAAAACATTATTTGTCTAACCGAATATTTAATAAAATTGGCCCAAAACATAAGTATTTGGTGCTTTGTTTCCATAGCAGTAAAATAAAAAAAATGTGTGCGTTTTTGCTTATAAATTTTTCGATGTTTTCTTTTCTAAACTTCTCTCTTTACACTATTTTTAATGTGCAAAATTGTGGATCTCAATTTCCCCATTTAGCAATAGAATTCAGAAAAAATTCGTAAGATTTTAATTCGATTTCAATAAAATCATAAAAAATGAAATGCTACTTATGTTTCATGGATGATTAAAAAAATATAAAAGCAGTTTTTTATGTTCTATAAAAATATATAAACTTACATTTTTGCATTTAATGTATTTTCTTTAGCAAACTCTTATTAAGAATTAATAAGAGTTTGCTTAAGAAAATTCAATAACTTTTTCCAGCTACATAAATAATTTATTTTATAAAAATTGATGACTTTTCGAAAATAAAATCAATCTATTTTAATTATTTAAATCGTTACAGTCTGTCTAGAAATTCTGCAATTTATATCATATTGAAAGTAGGAAATTTTGATATAAAAACATAATAGTAATAATTTCATGTAAATAAAAACAAATTCCTAAGGTTTTACCAATCTCCAATGTGTTCTTCATCAATTACATATCCATCCGTATTAAATAAAGGCATGTCCCGTTTCAGAATTGTGTTAACATTGTCACAGAACATTACAGACTTTTTGCAGAAAGATTTTTCATTTGGTAGGGTGAAAATTTCCATTTTCCTTACTGCATAGTTTTTTGAATTTTTTTCAGAGATGTCTTTCTTGCACACCAGAGAGAATATAAATAATCATGATTTTTCTATTCTTGTTTGAGATTTTTAAACAAAATTGGAAATGACTGGCTTCAGCTAGAATTTCAAATTAATAATTTAAAATAAAAAGTTCAGAAAACACGCTGGGTCCAATTGGAAAAATTGCTGGGGAAAATCCTAATTGAGACTCCTTTATCGTAGTTTTATTAAGAGACTGAATTGATTCCATTATTTTTTTTTTTTAATTGCCAAATAATGATGCTCCTGCAAAATTTGTGTTTCGAAAATTTCTGGAACAATACCTACCTATATAAAAGTGTCAATTTTTCAAACTAGCTATCAGTAGTTAGAAATATATACAGTAATCGTTTACGAAATTCAAATCTATGCAATCTCAAGGTGTAGTAATTATTCCATATAGATATGATATTAATAAGGTTATACAGTACTTATTTTTTGTTGAAAGTTTTTGATATGCACCAGGGCTCGAAAAACCATCCGCCCGTCCTCGACGGTCAAAAATTCCCCGCAGACAACTAATTTTTCGAATCCGACGTCCGCGCGGAAGGCCATTTTCCCGTTAATGTTCGTGGTGCATTTTCAATTTTTATTATCTTACAAGAGCTCCTCACTTCTAAAATGACCCTCTAATCTAGAAATACAGCAGCATACTGCGCATGGTGGAATTGATGTTTTCTCTGTCTGGGACTGCTGCAGTGGTTGAAAGGGGCTTTTCAGCAATGAACTTGAAAAAAAAAACACATTACCTACTGGTCCTAAACAAGAAGCGTTAAACGCAATTATAAACATCTACCTAAATGGAAAACCCCTTTCAGCTTTCTGTGCCGAAACCTCTGTAAATCATTGGCTTGATTGTGGAACTGGCAAACATATTTGATTCATTTAAACACAGTACCCTCGGATAAATTGACCTTTGTCATTTAAATTATTTCATAAAAGAAATACTAGGTTACTATTAGTAACCTAGTATTTCTTTTATTACTGTATATTGTAATTCTAGTACAGTAGAACCCGTTTAAGAAGTTTTTCANTTTAACATTATGGTAATTGGTTTTTTTAAAAAATAACTTCTTACGCGGGAAAACTTCTTAAAAGGGAACTTTTTAAGCGGGTTCCACTGTATTTGTAATCCTAGTAACTACTAATTCATTGTGCAATTTATATAAATGTTTGTAATAAATAAGGGAAAATTATATTTTTATTCATATAGAAGCGACTGGTTAGTTTCAAGGAGGACGGGTACATTGTTGGACAAGCCGTCCTTTGGGACGGGTAAAATTTCTGAGTTTTTTCAAGCCCTGATATGCACCCTGCTTTATCTTAAAGCTGTATCAACACTCTTTTCACACAATTCTTCTCTTTTATTAGATTAGGTGATTTGCAAGATACTTCATTAAGCATCTACGCTGCGGATGACGATCTGACCAAGCTCCGTGTGCAGTTGCGCCACCTTTCTCGAAGAGTCTTAGCAATTGAACAAGAGAACCAACAAAGACAGCAGAGAGAAATAGTTATGTATGCCATCGGGGTAACTTATATACTAATGAAAAGTCTTCTGTGGATCCATAGACATTTGTAGTCTCTTTAATAAATAAATATTGTAATGGTGACTTTTAGCAGACTACATTTTGATACAATGTATTGCGAACCAATATAATTGTAGATTAAGATTTATTTTATTCTACTTCTTTATTGTGTCTGTTTGTAGATAAGTGACCGAAATAGTTTTCTTTTTTATTTATAAAGTAGAGGCTTTTATATATCGAATTCTTTTCTATTTTTTCCCTTAAACATTTATTAAAAATATGTACACGGGGTTGCCACTCCACAGGGAAAATACAGGGAATTTTGTTTCTTATTTTATTGTAGATTAAGAATTTTCTTTATTTTATTCTACTTCTTTATTGTCTGCTTGTAGATAAGTGCCCGAAAATTCTATCTTTATAAAGCAGATGCTTTTAAATGTCGAGTTCCTTTTTTTCTTAAAAATTTATTAAAAATATGTACACAGGTGTGGCTTGCCACTCCACAGGGAGAACCTTGAAAATACAGGGAACTTAAAAATAACAGGGATTTTTGTCTTTGTAAACTGGGAATTTTGTTTCTTATTTTAAAAAATGTGCAATCTATGGGATATTTAAGGATGATATTTCAGCTATATTAAACTAGTTCATTAACTGTAGCATTAATTGTTTTAAGTACGTTCAGCTGTTCCTTTTTTTCTCTAAGTTTTTTTTAACAATTATAACAAGTATAGTTAGCCTAATATAGCTCATACAAGAGCATAGTAATTGTTGTGTTTCTTCTTAATATATTGTATATAATATGTACAGGGAATTTCTTTACTCCAAATTTGAGCGGCAACCCTAACACCAACACTATGAAACTCTTACTGCAGAAAGGAGACTGAAAATATAAAAATTGTTCGATTGCCTTAAAAGAAGCTGGGGGGGTAGTGATTATTAACAATATCACCTTTATTCCCTACATAAATCTAACCGGTTTTGATGATTTCAGTCCCGGCTTTAATTTATTAAATTTTTTTCCTTGTGTTTTCCAATAATAACTTGATGTGCTACCTTCTTTTTTTTTTTTTAATTTCATATTTGAAAAGTATTCTAAAATTATGCATTAAGAATATACATCCTGTATTACATATTTATCTTGATTTATTTATTAGAGCAGTTACTTATTATGTACTTAACTTAAATACTTGTGTTTCGATTCAAATGATGTTTGTTAGTTTTCTTACTGTCTGATAATTTGATTTCATATAGTTGCGCTGTATCGGTTCTGAGAATTTTTCTTTTTAAGATCTGTCTGTTTAAAAAAATATATAAGTGCTATTAATGTCTGTCTAAATAATTTTACAATAAAAAGCCAACTGCACTAATATTACAGCAAGTGACTGGGGGGGGGGAAGCAGTGTTAATTTTTTTTTTCTGATACAAGTTTTGGATTTCTTATTGACCTCTTGATTATTGTGACACTCTATGCAATTTCTAGACAATCCTAATTTTTCACTTTTTTTCATTGAAAATAAATTTAATCTAGTATTATGAACATTTTTTTTTAAAACTTAATACTGTTAAATCTCATCTTGTTGTCTGTGATAAATAAACTCCCACTTTTAATCAAATATATTTTTCCTTTAGTTTATAAAAATATTAATTGGGTATAGAATCGCATTGTTCAAAAAAAAATCTGATGTATTTGGTGTGATTTCTTTATTTTTCTAGTTGTAAGAATATTAGTAAGATTCAAGATATTTAATAATATTTCACAATTATTCAGCATGTTGGTAATTTGAATAGAAAAGCTCTTGGCAAACATATAATGTACTTACCATTCTGAAATATATTTGATGTTATAACTTCCATTTTTATCTTGTTAAAGAATTTTTGTTATGAAATTTGATTAATTATTTATCACAAAAGGAATTAACATCTTATAATAATTTTTAATCATAAAAAAATTAGATATAATTTTTTTCCCTTCATATATCGTTCAAAATATACACATCATTTTGTGAATTTAACTTCGACAATTGCTGATGTGAATATTTTGGGCCTTCTATACAAAAAAGATAGTTTTTTTGTTTTGTTTTTGAAGCGTTTAAAGTAAGATAGTGTAAAAAGTATATGCTCCTATGCTACACTTATATTATTATAAAAGCTTAGTAACATAAGTATTAAGTGTTACGTACAACCAAATTAAATTTTAACTAAATATTTGTGTATTTAATTGAGTCAGGGTTGCCACTCTGCAGGGAATTTAAAAATCATATAAAATAAGTGGGAACTTAGAGTTTTTCCTTACATGCTGCAAAAATGCAGGGAATTTTGAGTTTTTCTTTACAGACTAGAAAAATACAGAATATTCTTATAATTTTCGAGTTAAAAAAGAACATACAGTAATGGAACAGTGAGACAATTTTTAACCAATAATTAACATCTTTTCACTGTATGAACATTATACTTTTTACTAGCAATTGGCATTGTTTATAAAGAAATAAAATCAAAATTCTTCATTACTTTCTCGGACTGGAATGTGTGGTTTTGTATGCACATGAAAAAGCGAATTGCATTTACTAAAATTATTGTGTTTAATTTCCTAGTTGAATAAAAAAAAAATCATATTGTTGCATTGAAATTTCCTAATTTTTATTATATAGAAAGAATGCAAGTAAAAGTATTTTGTGAAATTATTAGAGGGATGGTTCGGTGGTTAAAAGTAATAAAATACAAATACACAAATTGAGAAAATACAGGGAATTTTTATTTCTTATTTTCGTCTTTTAAGAAATGGTGACTACTCAAAGGTCAACCTATGGGATATTCATGGATATTTCAGCAATACTAAACTATTTTATTTACTATGGCATTATTTAAGTAAGCTCAGCTGTAAGTTTTTTCAACAAATAAAACTAGTATAATTAGCCCAATACAGCTCACACAAGAGCACAGTTATTGTGTTTTTCCTTTTTACATTGTGTAAAATATGTACAGGGAATTTTTTATTACAGATTTGAGTGGTGACCCTGAATATGTAGTGATTCATATTCAGGAAAACTTTTCATGCAGGTGGCCTTCTGTATGAAAGTTTTTTTTTTTTTTTTCCAAACGTTTAAGGTAGATAGTGTAAAAAGTATTTGCTCCTATGCTGCACTTATATTATTATAAAAGCTTAGTAACATGAGTATTATATAAAACCAAATTAAATTTTAACTAAATATTTGTGTATTTAATTGAGTTTATATGGTGAATTTTGTTTTCAATTGTAGCATTTTTCTCTGTTACGGAAATATTTGAATGTTTTTTTTAAATAATTATTTGTATATGATGCCTTTATGTATAAACAATAAATATAAAACAAATATTCTTTTCCATTGTACAGAGAAATTTTTTTTTTTTAAATTGAATTGTTTCAAGCTTTTTATTCTTCTAATGCCATCGTGATATTTCATGAAAGTTATTTTTATGAAATAAAAAATATTTTTTAAAAATTATTACTACCCTCAAGTTTTTGTAACTTGATTTTTGCAATAACTTAGTCTACTTTTCAATGACTGGGATATTTTTTGAGTTTCAAATACGTTCATTTGTATAGAATATTCATACGTTGATAATGTTAAAGATTTTTTTTTTATAATTGACGAACAATAAAGGATAATAACATACCATATCTGCCAAGTCTACTGTTTTTAAAAGAAGACTCCCTTATTTTACGACAATCTGTCCCTTACGTATATATTCTTGAATTTCTCCGTATCGACCGAGAATGCTGCTGCGATTCATCATGTGTAATCGTTTTTTCTCCAATAACAAACTCCATTATTTATCTACGAGAGTCTGGTCATAACTTCGTTTGTTTGCATTGTATTTTTACCATAAACATAAATTTCTTTTTTTAGAAGTATGACAGATATTATGTTATGTATCCTATGCATTCCGCTTAGTAATGTAGAGTACAAGATAATTTTGGCAAAAGTTTAAAAAAATTCTCTCAAAATTTCGCTCATCATTATCGTCATAGGCTCGACAGCCCAGGGTGGGCCTTGGCCTTCTCAAGAAGTTTTTTTCCCTGCTAGCGTTTCCCATTTTTTACGACCAAAAGGTTTTTTCTTAACCATCTATCCATCTCAAATGTGGCCTGCCTCTTTTTTGTGTGCTAACTGGTCTGGCATTAAAAACGCTTTTTGTGGTACGGTTTTCATCCATTCGGATAACGTGGCCTGCCCATTTTATTCATTGTCGTTTAATAAAGTTAATAATGCCTGGTTCATTGTATAAGTGATAAAGCTCTAACTTTGTTCATCTAAGCACCACACTATTTTTATTTTTATTTTCTCCAAAAATATATCTCAAAACCTTTCTCTTAAAGGTACTCAACATAACCTTATCCATACAAGATATGGTTCAGGTTTCACAACCATATGTTAAAATTAATAATCTTAAAAGATATTTATGTAATAAAACGTTTGTTTTTCTATGAATTACATTAGATTTAATGTATTGATTAATATTGTTCCTGTTGTTGATAACAGAACTACCCATTACTTTCTGACGAAACGCTTGAAAGCTTTTTTTTTTTTATGAGAAGTAATTTCCCCTGGTAACTTATGTACAGAACTTTGATAAATATTTCCTATGCAAAGCCAAATCAGCTACTTATGTTTGAAATATGAATTTGTAAAATAAAGCTAATTATTTAGATGTTGAGTGTTTATACTTTAAGTAATTGTGAAAAAAATCACTTCTTTTTTTTTAGATTAAGATTTATCTACTTATTTTTTACTTCACTAAATGTAAGTGCTTCCATTATTTCCAAATTTGAATTTCACTTTTTGACTTACATGATGTATCAAAACTGTACGTGTAGCCCAAAAAATGTTGCTAGTAAAATCTCTGTTGCTTTATTCCTCCAATGCTGGCAGATGTGATATACAAACAGTTAATTTCATTAGATTGCATTCATTAAATCTGATATTTTAACACTTTTCTGAAGCTTCAAAACTGATTAAGTGAAAAACTTTTAGAACAATAGATAGGACAAGATCCTATCAAGTTTCTATCCCTTTGTCTACGGGGTGCACAACTTTTTTTCAGTGAAGGGCCACATGAGCATGTTGGCAAATATGATCATTTTTGTGTAAACATTGGTACTCTTAGAACTAAATTTTTTTATCAGTCAACTTGCAGAAAAGGAAATACTTCTAATTATTTACATTTATTTAAAAATGAGAAAACATGCTTTTTAAATGTTTCCCTTTTCATTGATAATTGATTTATCAAAAATCTATATGTACAGGAGTCTGTCCTGGCCAAATTTACTTCTATTTAGCGGTATCTTCACAAATTCAACTTTGGGAAAAACTAGTTTCACAAAATACTTTTTCTAAAAATTTTATTTTTGTATCATGTAAGAAACAATAAATCCATATTTTTGAGTTGATTTTTAAATATAATTTTTAATTTTCACGAATTATGTCTTAATTTTCACAAAATAGGAACCTCTCATAAAAACCTAGACACACCCTTCATATATATTGGAGTAAAAAAAATACATTGAAATCTCATATTAAGGACACTTCTACAAAAAGAACTTTCATTAGGGACATATTTTAAATTCCCCGTTAATGTTCTATAAACAAACCATTATGTACCTTCTCCGTAAAAGAAAGCTCACAGTCATTTATGCCCTGAAACGTTTTTTTTTTATCTCTTCAAACCGGACACCAATTTTTCTAAATTTAAAAAGAATTTTTTTTCTGCTTTTAATTCTAAGAAAAGAATGCAATGTAAATTCCTTGCCTCCTCCACTAAAAATATCATACCTACCAAGTCTCCTGTTTTATAACGAAGACTCCTGTATTTTACGACTATCTTTTGTTTACCCGTATATTTTCAAATTCGTCCGTACATAAGTAATTTGTTATAAGAATTTTTTTTTTCTTCAAAAAATTGGCGATAAAATTACCACTGATGGCAAAAATACTTCTCTTATTGCTCAACAGATAGTGCTGGTCGCTCAATGAGATGACCCCGGTTTCGATTTCCGCACCCAGCTTGAACCAACCACAATGCTGACATAAATTTTTCTCAGTGGATCATGGGTTCCTTAGCCGTCAGGCTAACCGTGGGGGGTTTTCTTTCATGTAACACAAATGCGGGTTATTCTTGATCCCAGAGTTTCCTTGTCTTTTAGATTGTGTTCAAAATTACAAGGCTTAGGAGTTGAACATTAGCAGCCAGAAACCCAAAAATTGGGTTAGCGGTAATAAAATAAAGTAGTTTAAATAATTATAAATAATGGTTTTTAAAAAAATCTTCTTTAGATTAAGATTTATATACATATTTTTTACTTGGCTAAATGTAAGTGTTTATATTATTTCCTTTCTGCAGAATTATATTTTTAAAAAAATTCTTTTTTTGCATCCAAGAGGTGGATTAAACGCCATGATGAATTTTTATTTATTTATTTTTGAGAATAAAAAAAAAATCCTTAATGACTGGCTTTAACTATAATTTCAGATTGATGTTATAAAAAGTAATTACCAAATAGGAAATAATTTAGAAAGGATTAGCTATACAAATATTTTTTAAAACAGGAGAATATCGTCAAAAATATAAGAATATGTATTATTGTATAATTAGATTTCTAAAAAAATACTTGTATTTATAAAAAATATGTATATATATTGTTCTATTCTATACACGAAGGCGTTTTTTTTTTTTTTTTTTNTTTTGCAAACAGGAAGCGCTTCTTTTACTTTAAATTAGTAACATACGTATTTGGTACTATTAAAAATGTCTTTCAGAAAGGTATTAGTACTGGAGAAAATTCTGCCATGGGGATTATACGATCGACGTGTAAAATTTGAATCACGCACCTGAATTTTTTTGACTTGCTCGATTTGCACAAAATTCATGAGAAAATCAGCAAAAGCCAAAGGAATCAAATAGGCGGAAGAATCGCATCTATGTAAATGTCTAGTTAAAGAGATTTAGCGTAAGTTTCAAAATTTTGTCGGATTACAAGTTTTTGATTCGTAGAAGTCCGCTAACCAGTGGTCTTGAGATACGTGGGAATCTGCGATATTCGAGAGAAAATCACATGCCCTGCTGATCCTAGTTCTTGGACCAGTCCTAGGTTGAAAGAAAATCGGCGTAAGAAATGAAAAGGCGCTAGAATGCAAAATAAATAAATCAGAACATTTTGACCTAAAATCATATTTTCGGAAAAAGGTTAAAAATTCCGAACAAATACGATTTAATCAGAACAATTGGCAGCTACGTGTTTCATTGTTCCGTTAAAGTACATTTTTAATTAGAATATTTCAAACTAAGTTTGCACATGAAAATCCAATCATTAGTATAAAAGTTAATTAGGGTGATTTTTTTTTTAAAGTTCAGCACACAATGCACATAAAAACTTGAATAATTTCAATCCTGTCCTAATTATTTAAGGGATACTTAAATAATATGTTTTTATATCTGTTTTGTTACAGTAATATTTTTTCTGATTAAAAAAGAAATTTTTTTTTTAATCTTCAAAATAAAAAATATGATTGAGTGAGCAAACATTTCAAGTCCCCCAAGTGATATATTTAATTGTAGTGTTTCTTACAAAATCTCTCATAGCTATTTTAGTTTACACTCAGGGCCGGATTAACCACTAAGCACGTGCGAGTACGGCACCTGAGGTAAAAGGGCACAACAGAGTATTAAGGAAAAAAGCATTTTTTTTCTATAAATATATTTTTTTTTGTTGCACATTTTAATTCGATTATAAGTTCTAACATGAGCCGACAGGTCTGTGTAGGGGACAGGGAACTGTCCTTGCATCAGAAAGGTTCTGGGTTCGAATCCCGGGCAAGGCATGGATGTTCTTTTCTTTTCTGTACTATCTGTCCTCACTGTGAGAGTGACGTTGGCCCACCTAATATGGTGCCCCTGAAAGAGAGGCCAACAAAATCGCCCTGTAAATGCCTGAATAAAGTTCTAACATGTGTTCATGGTTTAAACTAAAATGCTATTGTGTTATAATCATTTCAATCCCGCGGAAACGGAAAAAAAGGTTATGCATTGCCCATGTCCCATCACAAAATGACCATCAACATAGTCGGCGAATAGCTGAGATCTGAAATACAAAACTAGAGCAAGAAGAAGCTTTTTTTTTTTGTAAACAAGTGGAACAAATTGATTTTTCACACAAACGTGCCAAAGCATCCTTTTTCTCTCTGAAATATCTTGGGGGAAGAGTAATGCCTTTTTTTTTCAGCGAAAAATACTATTCCTCTGTATACTGAAGATAAAGACAAGCTAGAAATTTTTAAATTGTGCTTCATTGTGGAACTCCTGCTACTGAAAAGTGGGGTTTAGGATGGCTAATAAAAGAGAGGTTAATTGATTAATTTTTTTTAAAAAAACCAATTACATAATTAGGTGTGTGCTTTTTGAACATATAAAACTTCGATAGATTTTAGAGTGCGACTCGATCTTGATTCAGTGAGTGTTTTGTTTATTTCAAGGAGACTTCGCCAGGGCACGACTTAGCCTATTTGGAGCCTTGGGCTCTGCTTCAGTAATGAAGAATTGAACTTTATGCAGGTATTTAAATTTTTAACCTCATTACACATATATAACAAGAAAATTGACTAGAACCTAAAACAGTTATCAAGTTCCACCTCCAATGATAAGAAGAAACATCGTTCTGTGTCCATTTTATAGATTTTCTGACAATTCTATGTCTATCATGTTGAATGCAGCCTTCTGATTGTTAACTTTGTCCTCCATTCATCCATAAAATTCATATCCATTCTGACATTAGAGCGAAATTCAGCTAAATTTTCGCAATGACGATGGCTCACTTAAGCCAATCAGAAGCCTGTATTTTAGTAAACACATCGCATTTTGCTATATATAAAAATACAGGCTTTTGATTGGCCAAATTTTTCCAATGTAATTGCGAATATTTAGTCGAATTCCGCACTAGAAAGCCATGGATTTACGAAATATAGATTTTTCGTGTTCATACCATAGATTAATGAAGAAGCTAACATAAAACTGACGGAATTTTTTACACTGTATTGATATTTTGTTTAAAAAAATTTCATTAACGAAGGAAATCTAAAATAAATTTTCAATTCGATTTGGGGGGCCCCCTCTGATGTGGGGCCCGGGACAACTGCCCTGCATTTGCCAGGCTCTGGTCTTAGTTTGCTATATACTGTGCTCAAAATAAAAAGCGAAAACTCAGAATTACTTTTGGTATAATCTAACGACCGGATTTTCACCTACTCAATCTTAAAAGTTAGAGGACTATAATTGTTAATGAGTAATGCTGACGATATTTTAAGATGTGAAATCAGACACAAAAAAAAGTACTTTCTCAGAATAAAAATTCCAAAAAAAAAATTTCGACGAATTTGGTTTTTTGACCCTTGAAGTGTATGAAAGGGTTAGCCGCAATTCGGAAAATAGGGTCCCAATACAAGAGAGTGATTAAAAGTTTTGACCCCTTCAAAATAATTTCACTTTTTACGTATTTCGCTTTATCTCTGGAGATAAGAGTTTTAGCACATAATTATAAAATTCATTTATCCGAATGTAATTCTATGTAAAATAATAATTATAATTTATTTTATCTAGTGAAGGGAATTTGAATTGCAAAGTATTTTATTGCTAAGTATGTAATTTTTATCGGCAAAATA